GCTTCCTAGGGTTCGCCAACTTTTAAAGCCAATTCATTCCTGCATTCGCACAAACAGCCCTACCCATAACAAACTTGCTGAAGACCAAAGGGGAGGGAAACCGAAGGGCAGCCAATCTCTTAAATGGTCAATGGAAAGTAAAGCTACTTTTGAAAAACTCAAATGCATGTTTGTGGCTGAGCCTATGCTAAAGCACTCCGATCCCACTTCCCATTCATCATTCAGGCAGATGTCAGTGACGTGGTGGTGGGGCTGTGCTGCTACAGAAAAAATGATCAAGGAATCCTTCAGCTTTGTGCCTATACCTCCAAAAAACACACTGAAACCAAGCACAGGTGGTAAGTATGGGAAAAAGAGGCCATATGCAGTCTGGTGGAAGCTGCTTAGTTGGAAGCATTTCTTAGAAGGGAGCAAAATCCCATTTGAGGTCTGAACTTATCATAAGCATCTAGAGGCGCTAAAGACCCCAGAGACTATCACCTAAACAGGTCTGGTGGGGCCAATATTTTAATCGATTCAACTTTACCTTATGATACTTACTGGGAGGGAAAAACTTCCTGGCAGATGCCCTATCCAGGCTGCCCCAGTACAATAGTGAAAGGAAATAGTCTGAGTGGTGATTCCCTCAAAACAACTAGCAGCTCCAGCAATCACCTGAAGGGCAGGGAAACTCTCTTCTCCCTGGCGAAAGACTTACTCACTTCCATAAAAGAGGCTCTAAGCTCAGACCTGAGGTTTAGGGATCATAAAATGGAATGCACAATGCTTGATGGATTTGCAATGGTATACATCCTGAAAGCCAACAAATAACTGTTTCAAAAGAACCATGACTCTAAAACAGCAGGCCATTTTGGGTCCGTAAAAATTTTACATATGGTAAAGCGCCAATTCTGGTGGCCATCTTTTAAAAAGGACATTTAAAGTTATGTAACCAGCTGTCCCATGTGTGCTACAGCAAAACAGTGCCAGGGGGAAAAAACAAGAACTCCTCCAACCAGTAGTTAAACCCTAAACCCCCATGGAAAGAAATATCCATGGACTTTATAGTCGAACTCCCTGAAAGCACTGGCAAAATCTATTATTTGGCTAATAACTGACCTCTTCTCTAAACAAGTGCACAAAATCCTTTCACTGTGCATGCTGGTTAAACTGTTTATTCAGCACATCTACCACTTAAATAGTGTCTCTGAATGCACTATCTCAAATCAGGAAGTTTAATTTACCTCTTGGTTCTCTCAAGAGTTCCTTAAACTCTTGGGAATCTCCCAGGGATTTAGCTCCTCCTATCATCCGGACACTAATGGATCCTGTGAACTTACAAATTCTGTATTAGACACATACCTCAGGTGCTATGTCAATTACACAATTGGGTTGATCTGCTTCCCTTTGTAGAAATAGCCTACAACAATTCCGTCCACAGCAGCACCAGCTTTACACCGTTCAAAGTGGCTTCTGGCCAAGACTTTGTAGCCATGTCCAAGTTACCTCAACCTTACATAACTTCCCTGGCAGAATGAGTGACTCAAATTCAAAACACCTGGCTGGTGGTTTATAAACATTAGGTGACACAGAATTTAAGAATTTAAAATAGGAGCCCTATTCTACCTATCCACTAAGTATCTTCAATCAAGACAGCCCTCCAAAAAACTGGTTCCTAAATACATCAGCTCTTTTCCAATAAATAAAATAATCAACCTAGTCATTTTCCAACTAGAATTACCTTAATTGCTAAGGCGCATTCACCCGGTGTTTCATTGCAGCTTGCTTAAGTCTATAAGCACCTCTCTATTGTGCCCTACTGAAGCAATACTTCCACTCCTATCCTCAATGAAGGTGAACAATATTCTGAGATTAAGGACATTCTAGACCAGTGGTGGCGAACCTATGGCACGGGTGCCAGAGGCGGCACTCATAGTCCTCTCTGTGGGCACGTGCGCCATCGCCCCAGTCCTAGGCCTTCAGCTGGGTTTTATAAAACCTTTTCACATGCAAAAAAAAAAAAAAAAGGTTCAATCAATCAAAAAAAGGTTCAGTCAATTTCAACTTCTTGCGGGGAAAAAAAGATCTTGCAAAGTTGGAATTGATTGAACTTTTTAGTCCCACCCAGTCTGCCGTTACCACCGTAGCCACGCCCCCAATGGGCCACACACCCCCAATGGGCCACACCCAGCCAATGGGCCACACCCACCCGGCACCTGATGATGCATAAGTGGGTTTTGGGTTGCAGTTTGGGCACTCAGTCTGTAAAAGGTTCGCCATCACTGTTCTAGACTCTTGCACACATAGAGGGAAAACCCAGTATCTCGTTGTTTGGAAGCATCTTCCCCCATTAGAAACTGAATGGGTAGATGCCCACCATGTCAAGGCCCTGCACTTGCTGAAAAAAATCCACTCCAAATACCCAGACAAACCAGGCTGACATCTACATTCCTTTCTCTCTCTCCCCTCCCCTTTTCTTTTCCAGGACTAACATCCCTGCTCATGGAGAGCGAATGTCAGGTCTGCCAACTTCAGCACCTCAGACCATGCTTCTGCTGGAATCCTGACATCAAAGTACAAGTGGGAGGGGGGTTATGAAATGTGGGTTACAGCCAGGGTGAGAATGTAAGAAAGGAGCCAGGAGGGAGGGGGAAATTGACAGGAGTGAGAATAACCAGGTGCTTGTACCAGTTTGCTCCAGACTTCAAGGACAACTGGCCTGAGAATGAGCAGATGGACTGCCCACCATCAAAGAGTTCCCAAAACATCCAAACGACTTGCTATTGGACACTAGTGACTGGCTCAAGGGAGGTGGACCAGGAGGGAAGGAAAAATTTGGTGCTTTGCGTGCAAATTCTTCAGATCCCACTTTACTTGCCTTGCAACCATTCTACTCCAGTTAAAATATCTATTACTTCAACCAACTGGAGTCTAGGGTCATTCTTTTCTAGAGTTAGATTTGGGGCAGTCTGACACCAATCCTCCTCTTCATTAAACTAGACATACTTATTTCCCTTAATCATTCATCATATATTTAAGAGGTACCTCCAGACCTCTTATCATCTTTGTTGCTCTTCTCTGTACTCTTTTTAGGATCTCAGCATCTTTTTTTGTGACAAGAACTTCACATCTCATACCAGTGTGGCCTAGGTGCAATATAGAGCAGTATTATCACTTTTTGTGATCTTGATACTATCCCTCTGTTGATGTAGCCTAGGACTGCATTGGTTTTTTGGAAGCTGTTGGCTCATGTTCAAGTGATAATCCTCTAGGACAACTAAATCTCTCTCACAGTTATTACTGTTGAACCAGGTACTACCTATTCTATACCTGAGCATTTGTTTTTTCAGGACCTTTTCTCATAACCAAATTGCATCTTATTGGATAGGGCTTATTGCTCAAATCTGCCAGGATCCTTCTGAATCTTGAGCGTATCTTCTAAAGTATTAGCAATTCCCTCCAGGTTGGGGGCATCTGTAAATTTTGTAAGTTCCCCTTCTATCTGGTCATCTACATCATTTATGAAGATGTTAAAGAACACTGGGCCCAAGGCAGAACCATGAAGTACCCTACTGCATGCTTCCCTCCACATAGTTGTAGTTCCATTGAAGTCCAGATGTGGAGTGTCTGTTGTCAGCCAATTGTGAATCCATCTGGTGATGTACTATCCCACATTGTTCTATCTTACCAAGAAATAGGTTGTGGTCTATTTTGTCAAATGTCTTATACTTATAGTATATTCAGACCCCCAATACTAAGTATACTATATTCACAGTATTTCCTTGATCCACTTCTTTAGTCACTTTATTAAAGAAGGAAAACCATGTATTCTGGGCAGCATAGATTAAAAAAAACTATAGTAATTGGGAAGCTGAATGAACATACTCCTTTGGGCTTAAATGAAGAATATTTACATTTCTTTTTTTTTCTTTTCACTTCTTACAGGGATAAATATTCTATATTAACAATGGAAAGATTTTTCACTCTCACAAATAAGAAAATGTTAATCTTCTGGACTGATATTATTTTTTCAGTTATGGTAATTCCTGGGATAATTGTTTTACACTGCTATGGGCTCATATTCAATTTTTCTATCATATTTTTCCTTCTTTGGGGCCAAAAATATACCAAAGCTGAAAGTTTTCCTTGAAGTACTCCACCCAAGCTTCTAGACTCTCTCTCAAATTTCCATTCTGTGGGCTCCCTTCTCTGACCAACACGAATAGCAGTAATAGCAAAGAATTGTCATGGCTTAGTAGGCATAATAGCTTTACAATGAGTAAGGAAATATTGACTTGAATTATAACTTGCATCATAGTTTTCTCAGGTGGGTATTTATTCCTCTCCCTACCTTGCTAATGAAAGATAAAGAATCTGGATTGTTTAAGGGAAGGGCCCACTCACCAGGATTGCAATTTCAGTGCAAAGAATCAATAACAGCATAGCCCTTCTTGAGTGCCTTACTAAACTGGTCAGATATCACTCAGCATTGATAAAAGTATACCATCTCAGCTAGAGATCCTAAGGGAGTAAAGTGACCACTGGCTCGATTTCCATAGTTTTCTCCACTTGCTATTGTAATCCATTTCTACTTTATTAAAAGAAGTAAATATTCAGGGACAGAGGTTGTTAATATACTAAAGCAGAATTTTATATTCTTTTATAAATGGATGTCCACAATTTTTACAGAACAAACCAACAGTATGTATGCATAACCATCACCAAGTTGGAACAAAATTTAATATTTTGTATATTGATCACTCTATTTGAAATGAGGTTTAATTCTTTAGTATTGTTAATTAATTTGACAAAAACTAAGGAATTGAACTTGCTGCATGAACCTCTCTCTTATTTCATCCCATATTCTTTGATAATAAACTACATTATCATTCTTTTTAACTCAATCTTTATTTTATAACTTACACAAAAAGAATATTAAAGCTATTTACTTTTTGAAAGATAAACAAGAAACAAGTTACATTCTTGTGAACTTCATTTCTTTTCTGAAGAATTTATATTACCTTTCGTAATCTTCTTGATACATCACATACATTTTTCTGACACACACTTTTGCCTTTTACTGCTTCTAGAGAAGAAACTGTAAAAATATTCAGCTATATGAGGGAAACTATACAGTACACAAAGTCTTGTTTTCTAAAGGAGATTAACTATGAATTTAAAGGATAAAAGACTCCTTTGAGTCAACTTCAACTCCTCTGAGTCAACTCCTTTGAGTCAACTTCAACTCCTTCAACTGACAAGATATCTATATCAGTTTCTTGGCAACACAATGGTAAGTAGTATGTCAATGCAATTTACTCACTTTACTCTGCAATGCTAGATTTTCTAGACGTTCCCCCATCTAAGTACTAATTTGGTCCATGCCACTTAAATTTTTGAGATCTGCTGAGGTCACTAAGGTGTTCTCAGCCACTATGGCATCTATTTAACAGTGTATTTTTAAATAATTGATTAAGGAATTTAATCCTCTTACACATATAATTGAAAAGTACACTGCATCGTCAAATTTTACTTTTATACTCAGTGTATATGTAAGTGATGCAATGAACTATCTTTTAAAAGTATGTGGTGTATTTAGACCTCTGACATAGAATACATAAATTAGAAGTCAAAGTTTTTAAGTTGAATATTAAGACCTCTTTTTAAAGAAGAGAATCCTATTGTCTAGCACACATTATTGGACTAAACAGATCAAAGATATGACTTGACATGGTACAAAGGTGTTAAGATTGAGACTAAAAGAACAAGAGAATGTGTAGTTATATAAAGACCACAAAATATATTTACTGCTTATATGAATTTGTCATCACTGTCACAATATTTGTCATCACAATTTTATTACCCCACAAAATACGATTTCCTGGGTGGGTCAGTATATTTGTATATTTTTTCAAGGTCTTATCTGCTGTTATTAGATCTAAATGGAACCCCGGCCAATAATGAGGATCACTTGTATTTCAACTCCAGGCTGTCAAAGCCTATACCTTTTGAAATGTGTATTTACCAACTTAACTCTGTGCAACCTTCAAATTTCACAGATTTGATGATGGACTCTAATCCAAAGAAGTTTATGCCACAATAAATATGTTAATGGCTTACAATATATTCAGTAATAAATCTGTGCATATAACTATTCAATGTCTACTAAATACATCAACATTTTAGAGAACTAGTGTTCCATTATTAAGCACAGGTAGTCCTCCAGTTATGAATATAATGGAGCCTGCCCGTTCCATTCATAACTCAAGGATTCGTAAGAGTGAATCTCGTAACTTGTACGAGGTTCACTCCCAGCTTTCACTAATCGAATGCATGGCCGAATGTGGGGCTCGTTAAGTGAACATGAGGTATCTCAGGGTGGGAAAGGTCATGGGAGGCGCCTAGTGATGACACAGGCCACCTGCTTCAGACCACACAAGCTCCTCCCAGTGAGATACCTTATGCTCCCTCCCCTGTAGGAGGCCTCCCAGGCCAAGAACAGACCTGCGGACGTGCGTGGAAGTCTGTTCTGGACCTGGGAGGCCTCTAGGAGGCCTCCCAAGCCCAGAACAGACCTGCAGAGGCATGCAAAGGCCTCTCCCCGCCTCCGTTCTGAACCTGGGAGGTGCATAGGAGGCCTCCTAGGCCCAGAATGGACCTGCACAAGTATGTGGACACCATTTCCAGAAGTCTGTTCTGGGCCTCAGAGGCCTGGAGGAGGCCTCAGAGGCCTGGATTGGACTTCCAGAGGCATGCTGAGGCATCCCCCGGCCTTATTTCTGGGCAGCAGCAGCCTGGAAAAGCCCTCCAATGCCCGGATCAGGCCTTCAGAGGCACAGGGAAGCGCCCCCAGCTTTGGTTCCATTCTCTATTGCAGAGAACAGAGGCTTAAAGTACCATGAGATCACGCGAGATCAGTAGCATGAGATCTCGTGCTACTGATCTCATGTGATCTTGCATTACTTTAGGCCTCCATTGTCTGCGAACACACTGACGGGCTGGAGCAGCCAAGAAAGCAAAGGATCTCAATCTTCGCAAAGCCTACTGCCTAGGGTGACCTGGGGTGGTAGGAGGGAGGGAATAGCCAGGGTGAATGTTACAGTGCTACTGTGGTCATTCGTAAGTGTGAATGACTGCCGTGGTGCAGCAACACTCGTAATTTCGGGACTGTCTCTGTAAGCACTAGGAGGCTCTTATCGCATAACTTCAAATGTTCAATAAGGGAACGCTCGCAATTCGGAGATTACCTGTAATACTGAATTATGTTTTATTATTGCAAATATCTACAAAATCAAAAAAACAGGACTCTGCTGAAATCATTATTTCAATCATAATATACTTTCTTAATATATAATTAAAATGATCTGGTCATTTACTAAACCAGCAAGCTGTCAAATTATTTCATTGCACATTATCAATTAACATCTCAATTACTTTTACATAACTTCTGTCAGATAAACCTTTAATGCATGGGACAAAAATAGTTTTCAACATATCATGAAAAACACGCATCAATGAACAACTCTTCAAACTAGTCTTACCTTTAAAAGTGAAGAATAGCTCATTTTGCATTCCAGCTCTTTGCATTTTTACATGATGGCATTCAGATTTTTGTATTGAAACCTCACAAGCTAGCTCCACAACAAGCTTGGCCAGTATCTGAAGCAGCTTCTTTTCAAAAGAAGTATTATAGATACTATTGCAGGGAGCTGAATGATATCGTGCTGTAAACTCATAGTAAAAGTTAGGATCAGAATAAGCTGCAGAAAAAAAAGTTTAGATTCAAACAAAACCAAGATACCAAGATTAAGATTTAAAATTACTGAATTTATTTTTTAAACAAGAATTAATTGCACCAAAGGAAAAAAAATACCATCCCCTAGAATATTATACTCGGAAACTAAGCTGCTACTTTAGGTATAATCAAGTAGTTGGAATTCTCCTGTGGGATCTTTTTCTTTTGAACAGCAGATAAAATTTTATCCAACCACTGTTAAAATACTGTTCATTGTTCAAAAATCACAAGAGTAATGATTTCATTGGAGATTGAAAGTTTCGTATCTTGCTGAAATGGCAAAGATCGGCTTACTTGAAGAACCATTCGAATGAACAATTTTTATCAATATGGAGAATATGGATTGTTTATATTCAAAAGAAACATAGAGTGGTAGAATATAATTTAGGTTTCTAGATTTCTTTAAGTTTGTTCACTTCTATCTTTTCTTGTAGATTAAGATATTTTGTGGAGTTAGAGATATTAGTATTTGTTTACTTTTATATGAATATTATCCTGGGATTAGGTTTGGGAAGTTCGGGGGGGGGGTTATTGATTGGTTATTGTGTTTACTTATGATTGTTTTTTATGATGGAAAAAATAAATAAAATTTCTTAAAAAAAAAAAAAGTAATGATTTCATGATTAAAAATAACTCATGCATTTTTGAAGTTGAGATCTAGATATTTAATTTTCTTTATTTTTTTATTATCATGGATTGTATATTAGTAAAATTACTGGCTTAAAGTAGGCAGATCAAAATTGAAAAAATACATTTAGTCATGGAAGTAAGTTGGCTGACTAAAATAAAAGTACTTTTCAACCAGAAAAATACCTGTCAGTGAAATTGACAAAAAATTTAAGAATGGCCTATCCCAGAACAAAATTTGAGTTGCTGGACTCCATGGCCAAATATGGGTGTTTCCACCACTTCCCATATTATGAGAAAACCTGTATATGCAGTACCCTAGCCATTGAAAATATTTCTCATAGTTTATTCAACTATGCCCCCACTAGGCTTATTGGAAAGAACAGCCCATTGGGACCTGAACCATAGAGTGTCATGTTTCTTCCTGAGATCAGATGTACATATTTACGTAAAATTGCTAAGTTTATAACTAAGGCAATGGTTCCAAGAACCTGGTACACTAAGCAAACTGATGTGCCCTGAAAGGGAGATTTATCTGATTACTGACTATGACTACATATGTATTTTATCACTGTATTTCCTATCTACTTTATTCTGGAATTAGACTTTGTATTTTATTTTATTGATAAGGTCACAAGATTAATCGGTCAATAAGTGACTATTGTTTCATAGGAAAAGATTCATATGATTCAAAAAGGGCTTAGGGGGACTGCCACATTAGTATACATTAATAGTAGCATACCCCATTAAAAGAAGACCGTTATTTTCAAATTAAAATAAAGAAAAGAAGCAAATATAGATCAAATAACTACAAACAGCACATTCACACAATTCATATATTGCATATATAACATTTATTAAAGAGTATAATTTCAACAGCAAAAACTACTACATGCTGAAAAAATAGAGTAGAAGATGCATAAAACAAATAGAGAAATACAAAAGAAAAATAAGATTATAATATAAAAAGAGAAACATATAAAAAAATTATTTCCAACTTTTCTCATAACAAGTATAAGCAATTTTAGTAACCTGTCACTTTCTTTTATAATGCAACAAATAATCTCCTTTCCCATATCTCATTTCTTTTCTATAAACAAATCCATAAAGCATTTCAGTCCTGATCTCAGCAGGAGTCCATTTAGGGTCACTGTAGATAGCAATATATCTATTTCAAATTTGATCAAATAAACCAACTTTATATTCCTTCTTTTTCTTCTGACAATTATACAAATTATCTTCTGGATCCATTATTCAAAAAAACCTCTTTCAGTATGTCCCATGTTACAGTATTTTGCTTCAATCTGTAATTATGTTACAGTGTTTTTCTCTTTCAACTGTAATGGTTAATTCCCTCTAGTATCCAATTTTTACAACAGCAAATGTAAATATTTTCATTGACACTGGAGAGTAGGATAAATAATGCCTGATGTAGCTTATCCATGATATTTCTTTTAAATGTTTTACCAGAACCAAAGAAATTAAAAATTGCCCCTACTTTCAAAAATTCCTTCTAAAAAAATGACTCAGTGAGCATAGATGCTCTAATTTTCCAAAGAGATAGATCTGTTTAATGGTTCTGCTACAGAGCTTAATTTCACTGCAATCTCTATAATAATATCAATTAATATTTCTAAGATTAAGAACTGGCCAAAAATAAACATGTCCCAACTGATTTTATTCCACTAGTCGTTGCCAACTATAGAGGGTGGTGCTCATCTCCGTTTCAAGACCACTGAGCCAGTGCTGTCTGAAGACATTTCTGCAATCATGTGGCCAGCATTATATCACAGAGCACTGTTACCTTCCCACTGAAGTGCTAACTATTTATATATTCAGATTTGCATGATTTCAAACTGCTAGGTTGGCAGGAACTGGGGCTTTGAGGGGAGCTCCCCCTTTCGGATGGAATTCTGATCTCAAACCTGGGCTGCCTTGCTTTTCCAGCGAACAAGGCCAACATCTTAACCACTGAGCTACTGCATTTCCCCAAACTGCGTAAAGCAAGACCCAAATTTGAGAAACAACTTTACATAACAAAGAAGGCCTGTACAGCAGAGTTGCTCAACCATTCCGGCTGGGGATTCTGTGCGAGAGGCAGGCAAACTTACATGCGTAGCTCCATTTGTGCATGTATGTGTCTGGCTACTGCTCACGTAAGTGGAAATGCATGTGCGCACAAACGCTCACCTGCCACTCCCGCAGCCCAATTCCAAAGGGCTCAAGGCCCTATAGTGAGGTGTGGCCCGGGGGTTGGGGATTCCTGCTCTATAGAATATGGAAAATAAAAAAGAAAGTGCTATCACAGCAAATATTACCCTCTGAGATTAATCTAATCGTAATGTATAAATAATTAAATGTTTCTATGAAATTAAGATACTTTTTGCATTGTTAATTGATATATCATTTTAAAATAATTAGGGCTCAATAACATTTCACTTAAAACAAAGGAAACAATTCTATCAGTTGGATCGATTCAACCCATGCATACACAGAAAAAAGCTTAGTAAAAATAAATCATATTATATCATGATCAAGATACAATATTTTAAGACTTAGGCCTTGTTGAAACCTATTTTATTGTCTTTCAATACACCATTTGATACATAGTTTATTTAAGCTACAATTTCCATTTCTATCCAATCCAGAAACTGTAGAGAGCATGATAAAGGACATGAACTGAAATATGTAACCTCTGCTGTCAAGACAAGTGGTGAAACATTTTCTATGTCCACAATGTCCACTTAATGTTTAGAAGTGTGTCAGAGACACCTCCTTAAGTCACTACAGCAGGTGTGTCAAACTGTCAGCCTGTGGGCCGATTGCATCATGCAGATACTGCGCCCATCCCAGCTCCGGCAATGCAAAAAAAGTTGCGATACGTCGTGACATGTCACATGACGCAGCAAGTTTGACACTCGTGCACTAGAGTATAAGAAAGAAGGCACCATACAATCAGACTTGCATAACTTCATAATTACAGTTTAACCAATCTCAATAAAAATAGTTTTAGACTTTCTGTGGAGCTGATTTCATCAACCAAGTTGGGCTGACAAACTATTATTTAATTAATCTTTACTAACTAAAATCTGAAAGTCTAGGAAGAGGAATTAAACTAATTTAATTATCCTGATGTAATAAGAAACTATTTGAAATATACCTCAACGCAAATAAGCTACAGGTTTTTGGGAAAGGAGCAGCTTAAAGAGGAAATGTGCAGACAAATAACATATTCACATTATGTTTATTGCCTAAGATTATTCTACCCGAATCCGACTGCAGAACAACTTTTGCTGTGAATTCTTAATTCTCTAGTATAGAATGAAAATATTTTCTAAGTAATACTCTAAAGGGAAAAAATATTTTAAAGAAAGGTAGTTTGATTTTATAATGCACTATGTTTACAGTATATTACTATGCAATATTGAATAGGATGCCCAAATTTTGTTTCAAAGTTGATATTAAACAAAGAATTAAACATTGTTTTGTCAGACTGTTTTAAGCGGTTTCAAGCCTAATAAAAAATTATTTTGTATGTTCTGTCATATGGAATAATGGCAACTTGACACTAAACTTTCCTTTTTCATTCTACAACCACAGAATGGATATGGCAAATGTGAGTGCCAGTTATTGGTCAACCTACCCTTCCTCCCAAAAGGGGAAACAACACAACACAATTGAACACAATGAATAAACTCAAACTACCTAGGAAATATTTTATCAGGGAGGCAGCATTATTTTTCTTACCTCCAAAATATTTCTCAGTATTTGAAATATGTTTAACTATCAGTGGCAGTGAAGCCAGTGACAGCAAAGACTGAAATCATGCATGGTTTTTTTTAAACAAATTTTATTGGTTTTTTAGTTTCTTAAAACAACATATTCAGGACACGCTGTGGTGCTGGGGTAATCAAACATCCTAAAACAAAACATATATACATAATACAATCAACACATCAAGTATTCCCTCTCTTTTTCTCTCAAATAGCATAGTATATTTAAAATATCCAATTCTAGCTTAAATTTATTCAACCTGAACCTGTTTTTAAGCTTCATTAATTTACAATACCATAATCAAATTAACTTTAATTAAAAACATTTTTAATTCAAATATCCCTTCCACGTATGTTCTACTTTCTTAATTTTATCAAGTTCTTATTTACTTCTTCTTCCATTAATCTCCCTTATTTGGAGTAAAATATTAATCGATCCTGTACCTATCAAATCCAACAATTAATCAATCCCTTCAAGCTAAAAAGATAGTATCATACCTTAAATCAGTGGTTCTCAACATGTGGGTCGGGACCCCATTTGGGGTCGATCGACCATTTCATGGGGGTTGCCAAGCAAGGCTGTCCGCCATTTTTTTTGTCCGCCATTTTTTTTCCCCTTTTCCGGCAGGTGCCTTACCTCCCTTGGGCTGGGCCAGCTGGTGGTCGGCCTGCTCCGTCTCTGCCGCTTGCCAGCTACACCTCAGCCGGCGCAGGGGGCAGAACCACGCATGCGCGGCGCTCCCGGGCAGGGAAAGTCCTCGACTTATACTGGTTTAGTCCTCGACTTACGACCAGTTTAGTCCTCGACTTACGACCGGTTTAGTCCTCGACTTATGACCGGTTGGGGTCGCGGCATTAAAAAGGTTGAGAACCACTGCCTTAAATCATGTCATTTCAATAAACAGAATTCAAGTCTCCAGTTAATTATCATAACTAATAACGTCCATATCATCAAAAAATCATATCATCTTATTAAATTTCAATTAACTAATAATTCACTTCAAATCTAAAACATCTCTTCAGTTTTCATCATTTCATTACATCATAATTTTCATAAAACTAAACCTAGCATTCTGAAAAAAGCATTCTTAATATTCTAAATTGCCTTTAATCCATTATATAAAAAAATATCTCATTTTTAAGCAAAATATTAATCTATTCTAAACACATCTAAATGTATATATTTATCAATCTATTCTATACGTATCCTTCAATTAATCAATCTCTTTGATCTGACAGATTAATATCAAACCTCAAATCATTTCAATCCATTAAGTAGAGTATAAATTTCAACCAGTTAATTATCACAGCTAAACATCCATGTTATAGAACAAACAAGTCATCTTATTTAATTAACATTCAATTAATTATTAATTCACTCCAACTCTAAAACATCTTTTTACTTCAAACTCATGATCTCAGTCCTTACATCAGTCCACAATTCTAGGTTGCCTTTAATCCAATTTAAGAAATTTTAATTTTCATTTTTCAATCTTATTCTAGCTTTCCTCGTTTGCCAGGTAGGTTTCCATAACAAGGCTTCCCTTCCAGAGGATGGATCTCTTTTTGTTGCTTGTAGTGTCACTTGATTCGATGTAGGCCATCTTGATCTCTGATTTGGTCCTCTATTTCTCTTGTCCATAGGGCCTCGTTGTTTCAAAAGTTCAAAATCCAGTCTTTGCTTTTCCTGATCTTGCTTGTAGGGCGAAATAAAATTCTCTTTATCCTCAATTAAGTCCTCTTCTTGTATAATCTGTTTTGTGAAGTAGTCAAGTGCAATCTGAGAGTCAGTTTTAAGTTTTAAAGTAGAGATTCTGGCTCTTAGTTCTGCAGTAGCCTCTTTTATTGTAGTACATATTTTTTCTTTGGCCTCATAGATCTTTTCCAGTATAAGTTTACAGTTTAAGTGTGATTGAGGCTTCTCCATTTTAGCAATAGTTGAAGAAAAATCCTTTTCCTTTTTAGTGAAAGTTAGAATTGAACATTATCCACCCCCACAGATCACACAGCTAGCTCAGATTATCTTTTCTCTTGAAAAACAGTTTGAAGGCCAAAACCATCTAATCTCAAAATAGACAACAATCCAATATTAACTTTTGACCAGTGAGTGTCCTCAGTGGGCTAAAAAGACTTCTTCAAACGCCATTTTTCCCCTTTTTTCTATTTTTTAAAGGAAGAATAGAAGAAGAAATACTCTGCCGATATAATACCGCTCCCAAAAACACAAAAAAGTTTTTTCTGTAGCAATGTAAATAGAGATAGAATGTAGTCTTTAAATAAATATTGATTTATTTTTTCTGTCCTTTTATAAAACGCGTTTGTTCCCACGATTACCAAAGCCGCTTTCTCCAGACGGGGAAATAATACCACAAACAGCTTCTACAGGCAAAAACAGCATGGGGTGTGGGGAGGAACAAAAGGGGTCTCACCCGGATCATCCGCGGTGGGTCTTTAACGTTTAGATGACGACGTGACTTTCGGCTGGTGCAGCAGGGTGATCGGCCATCTTGCAGGCCTATCTTTGCTCCGTTGGCCCTAAGGAGATAGCTGGAGACTCAGAGGGAGCTGCCGCCCTCCCTATCTACCAGCAAGCCAGCAAGGAAACTCCGGACGGAGTGGAGACAAGTCTCTAGGCACGACCGGCGTTGCCGCGTTCCGGAACCGGAAGTCGAAATCACGCATGTTTTAAGGTCATGGCTTCAAGGAATGTTTTAATAAAACCAACCACAGAATATTGAAACATTTGCAAATACAGAAGAAATTACCTCACTTTAATCCAAACTTGAGAGAAAACTCTGGATCACAGGATGCTTTTTTTGAAGCTTGAGAAAAAATTCTGGAATTCAGTTTTATTCCAAGTAGTTTAAACTTACCCTTAAGCAGAACATTCTGCTTATCCCCAATATTCCAGCTATTAATTAGATGTTATTTTTCTACTTAGAGCTTGCTACTTTTTTTAAAAGAAGAAAAAGACTACAGGAAAATCGATATGTATATATTCTGTACCAAGGATATTTAAATGCCAATTGTTCTGATTTAGCTGGTTACAGATTAATTGCAGCAACATTTAACTATGTAGTGAATTTCATTATATAATTCTGACAAAAAAACTAAACACTGAAAAACAAAAAAAAGGATAGTTATTCATCTTACCGTAAATAACGTATTTAATTAAATAGCTTTTTTCTTCTTGCTCAGTTGTAGGCTTAAACACTAGGGAACATGTGTAAATTCCACTCATGTAAGATTTGAAATGTTGGAATAAAAGAGTTCCTGTTGAGGATATTGTCACAGATTCATTTCCTGTTTTGAAAAGATAAAATAACTTTTTTAAGGACTTTCAAACCATAGTAACTATATATCATAATTATTATACACACACACACATAGAGATACATACATACACACACACACATGCACACACACACATATATAGTGTGTGTGTGTGTGTACAGGTAGTCCTCGGAGTACGAATCTAATGGAGACTGCCCATTAGGTACATAAGTCAAAAAAATTATCAAATGGATCAGACTCAATTTTTCAAATTTTTAAAATCAAATTTACTAATTGAATCAAATGGGTTATTAAATGAACAATGTTCTGACTTACTATTCCTCTGATTTGTTAATTGATTGCTACCCCATTAATTGAACTGAGAGGCTTTTCCACCGGCTGCCCATCAGCTTTTTCCCATACAGCCGACTCAGGAATTAAATTGCCTCCAAGGAGGGCTTGCAGCTATTGCTGCTAATTAGCACAAGCATTTTCAATTGCCTAGAGCAAGTGCTTTTAAAAAAACCACTTACCACTAATTAGCTTAAAAGTCTCCAGCCAGGCACAAAGAGGGAGATGGGAAGGAATTTGCAAACTCTCGGTTTGCAACAGTACCAGAGATGGAAGGGACCTTGAGGTCATCTAGTCCAGTGGTTCTCAATCTTTTTAATGCCGCAACCCCAACCGGTCGTAAGTCAAGGACTAAACCGGTCGTAAGTCGAGGACTAAACCGGTAGTAAGTCGAGGACTAAACTGCTCGTAAGTCGGGGACTACCCAACCGGTCGTAAGTTGAGGACTTTCCCTGCCCGGGAGCGCTGCGCATGCGTGGTTCCACCCCCTGCGCTGGCCGAGGCGTAGCTGGCAAGCAGCAGAGACGGAGCAGGCCGACCACCAGCTGGCCCAGCTCAAGGGAGGTAAGGCACCCGCCGGAAAAGGAGAAAAAAATGGCGGACAGCCTTGCTTGGCGACCCCCATGAAATGGTCGATCGACCCCAAATGGGGTCGCGACCCATAGGTTGAGAACCGCTGATCTAGTCTAACCCACTTCTCTCACAACAGAGTATTTCTGATAAATGCCTATCCAATCTCTTCTTAAAAGCTTCCAGTGATGGGACACCCAAAACTTCTGGAGGTAATTTAAATTTAAAACCTACAAATACAGTAATATACACAATTCTCCAAAATAAAAGCAAGTAAACACAACGTTATAGAATGCTTTGTGTAGATGCTGGCTAGCATTTCTACAAGAGTTTCAAGGCGAATGCAAATAAACTTTATCTTTGCAAAGTACTGTATTTACAAACACAATATTTTGCAAAATAGGAGTGCTTAAAAAATAGTTGGTTACTATAGAGTAGTGGTGGCGAACCTATGACACGCGTGCCAGAGGTGGCACTCAGAGCCCTTTCTGTGGGTATGCGTGCCATGCCCCGAAGATGGCAACTGTCCCTCTTCAACTAGCTGCCCGCTAACTCGCTGAAGTCCCACGTGGCCGGATGCATCCCAGCATGGCTGGCTTCCCTCCCCCCGTCCCATTCCTCCTGGCCTTGCATGCTCTCCTTTTCCTGGGCACGACCAACTGCATCACCTCCTTAGCTGTTGGCTGGCGTTCAGCTCAGAGGAGGCTTCTCTGAACTGCTAGCGGCAGGCTGCGGAGCTCCAGAGTGCGCCGGTCGAGGGGCCGGCAGGCTGTGGCTGCTGACGGACACTGTTGGCCCCCATGTGCTCGCTGGCCTGTGTGTGCGGGGGCTGATGGTGTCAGGCAGCAGCCGCCCCAGCCCCTGCATCACCTTGCCCTGCGACAATGGCACCCCCACCCTGCCTCACCTTGCCTCACATCACCCTGCAGGATGAGCCTCCTGCCCACTGTCCCAGCTGCCAGAGACCCCCTGGATCTCCCCCAATCCTGCCCGGCCCCCACAGGTATTCCTCCCCACGAGCAACATCGAGGTGACCATGTCTATCTTGGCCACACCCACCCAGTCAGCCATGACTACCACAGCCACGCCTACCCAGTGGCCACGCCCAACTGGCACCCGGCGATAAATAATTGGGTTTTGGGTTGCAGTCAGTCTCTAAAAGGTTCGCCATCACTGCTATGGAGTAACCAAAAAAAAATAAAATTAAAATACTTACAGAAGCAGTCCTCAAGCCCAGGCAGCTGCAGATTGTCCATGCAGCACCAAAAAAGCAAAAGCAAACCGATGCTGGCTCAGCTCGTTTGGCCATGTGACTAGGGGAAAAAAACCAACACCTTTCTGGCTTCAGGAAATTGCATTCGTAACCGACCGGGTTTCTGCAGCAATAACTGAATCCAAGTCACATGGTTACAGAGGCCTCTTTTTGCTTGCAATTTTGAATTTCTAATGTAAATACTCTTCCTGAATAAATTCATTTTTGTGAAAACTCACTAAATTAATGTTTGTACCTGGGGATTACCTGTATTTTTGTGTCTTTTTCAAATTATAATACTCCCCAGAAATGTTTTTAAAAAGATCAACAGAACCAGCCATTACTAATTGGTTCAATATAACCAGACTGTTATGAGAGACAGAATTAAAAAGAGATCTTCATAAGTTGCAGAAGTGCATAGAAATAAAATTAGTTTAAGATTTTTGTGTGCTCGGTTATTGCCTCCATTATCCCTATATACAGGAGAGTAAAAATGTCTTCAGCAGTGTATTATATTCTCAACCACAACTGTGTCAGATGTAAGATATATGAACACTATATTGACAGAACTGAAAAAGGGGAAATTGTGACTAGTCTACAATTTGCCGCTGCTGCAGTTGGGTCATGTCATCATGATCCAGGTACCCATCTTGCAATTACATTAAAGTAAGCTGCAGTCACACGATAACCATTTGCAACCTTCCCTACCAACTTCTCAAAGAAAAGTCAATGAAGAAGTTGGTAGGCAACAATTCGCTCTCATAAGTCATTCCTACTGCTTTTTCTCCCAGCCTCCCCCTATAAATCTCTGAGAAATATACTCTGTAGTACCCCCGTCTCCAGAGCCCACCTGCTGTCGTTGCTCCCCAGCTCCCCATTCCCATGTTCTTTACCTCCCACTTCTTCCCGCTTAATAATCCATGCAGGCATGGGGTTACAACAAGGAATGCCAACCTTTTAGTTATTAAATGGCATTGTGCCTTATGGTAGCACAAAACCTGACATGCTATCACTAAACATGATATTGTGTTTTATGACCACACTCCCAATTGCCATTGAAAACAACATCAAACAGAGTCAATGACAAAAATAATGTGACACTGATCCCTGGTCTTTCTCCTGGTATCAACCCAAATTAATGAAAGGGTTTCCTTCCACAGATATTATGTGGCTGCCCAGCATTAGTGCTAAATCCAGGAATATCTATTCTTAGACTGATGCAAGCCTATTCAAAAATCCAATAAATCCATAACAAACAATTTCTTTTCTCCAAATGTTGCTACAGTTTATTCTACTAGATCCAAATTTGCAGGAAACAGAAATATTGCCAATGTCATGGGTACTAGTGCTAGTGGGCTCCAAACTCATGAACTTTTGCAAAAGCCTCAAGTATATATTAAGTAAGAAAAACAATATGTATTTTTCCAGCATGATGCAGAACATTTCCCAGTATTCAAGCAGTATGTACCAACACCTTCTTTTGACTGTTTCACAGTCAGCATAGGTCTATAATCTACAGAATAGGACTCCAGACCCCAGTAATTAGATCCACTCCTAAACCTCATTGGAACTTCCAAAAACAGAATACTTCTGCCAAGCGAACTGATGCTATATTGGATGGGTCAAAGCAATCCCTAAGAACTGTGACAGGTTTGTTAGCTTAATTAAATCTGTAGCTAAAAGAAACATTCCCAGAGGCCACCATAAATATTATGTCTCTGGATGGAGTGAGGAAATAAGTCACTTGTGCAATGAGTTTGAACAGGACAGTAATCTGGAGAAAGCAACTGAATTGCCAATGTCTCTGGAGAGAGCTAGAAAAAAGAAATAATCCAGGATTGTAGAAAATCTAAACTTTATCCCTCTAATAGGAAAACCTGGTCCCTCATCCAAAAATTGGACTCATCATCTGTACCATCCAGAAAACCAGGGCTTTTTTTTGTCATAGAACGCCCAGAATGGAGTTCCAGCACCTTTTTTGGATGGAACTTTGTAGGGTAGGCAAGGCGGGTTGTATGACATGTGTGAGTTCCGGCACCTTTTTTTTGTTTTTACAAAAAAAAGCACTGCAGAAAACATTCTACCATCAGTGTGGAATCCATAGTGAACCATATTATTTCTACTTCAAGGACAACAAGACATACAAAATTCACCAGACAAATTAGATCTGAACTTAGATTACTGAGGCAGGACCTTCTACTACATGCTTTATACTCACACTCATTTACACCAGAAGTGTAGAGGGGACTGGATTCTTTACAAAAAAAAAAAAAGCTACAGGATTTGATGCCATGTACCAAGAACTACTGAAGAACTGTGGACCAGCAATTAAACAATGTCTTGCCTCCTTTTTTAGTTTCATACTATACTCAGGATGGCTGTCTCCTATATTCAAGAAGACCAAAAATATTGCAATTTTGAAATCAGGGAAGGATCCTAAAGCTCCCGAAAGTTACAGGGCAATTGCTCTTCTATGTGTCACCTAAAAACTTTTAAAAAGACTTGTGTTAAACAGAACAACCTTAGCAGTAGAATCTGTAATCCTAGTTGAACAAGCTGGATTTTACCCCAAACACGATTGTAGTGATCAAGTCCTTAGATTAACTTTCTACCTGGAGAATGGATTCCAAAGGAAAAGAAAAAAATTCTCTTGTTTTTCTTGACCTCTCAGCAGCCTATGATGATGAGAAAAGGACTTCTCAAAGTAATAAAGATTTGTACTTTGTATTAACACCATTGCCTTGATGGAAAGCAGGTTGAGTAACAGGTTATTACAATTTTTATAGAATTCAATAGAAACAGATATCATAAGTTGAATAATGGACTTCCACAAAGGTCAGTGCTATCCTCTGCTCTT